AATAAGAAAATCTGAGTGACATATCAACCAAATGCAATAGGTGGGCCTAATAGAATTTGAATTTAAACAAATCACCTATAAAAATACATGTATCAGACAAATGAAGAAATTATTTTATTATATTAAGGAATTACTTTTCTTTTAAGTGTTTCATACTTTTATATTATTAGTTTGCTACCAAAGATTTGCTTTAAAATAATCCCACTGGTAAGAGAAGAGGAAAGGACAGGGAAGCTAAACAAGACTGACCAAACGTTGGAGACAAAGCTGAGTTATGGGTACTGTGCATGGGAGTTCATTACACAAGTCTTTACACTTTTGTATGAGCTTTAACTTTCTATGTTCAGAATGCTGTCTACAGTTATGATTCCATTTCTGTCAAAATTATAAGTGCATAGGTGAAAAGATATACACCCAAACCTTGCATGTTTTACCCAGAGGTGGTAGATAGATGATTTTTATTTTATCCTTTTGCTTACATTTATACTGTATGTTTTCACAAATACATGTTTTTCTTTTGTAATCACAATGATCTTAATTCAAAATTATTAAAAATAGTAATACACACATACTGGAAAACATCTGAAAAGAGGAAAATAAAGCATGGGAAAATCTCTTATACCACCAACACCAAGAGGCACATTTCTTTTTTTTCTTTTTTTTTTTAACATAGCTGAGATCATTCCATATCTCCAAGTGTACATCCAATTTTACTCTCTGGTTGTATTTCCCCTTTTCATTAAATAATTTTCATAAACACCACTTACCGTGGCTACAACAGAAAACATTATCTATAATTAAAACAAAGCATGGTGGAAAAAAAATACACCTTACCTTCTAAAACCTAAACCTTATTATTAAATAACTAACCCAAGAGTGGGGAACCTTTTCATGTAGGAAGGACACATTAATTTAGCTATAATCAAATAAGGCCACATTCAAAAACCTTCAATCAGATACACTTTAAAATGTATATTATTTTGCCACATATCATGTATAGACTTAGTTCTGTCTTGTAAAGAAATATTGAAGTTCTTAGTTCGTTCTTTATGAGGTTTTTGTTTCTAGTCCTTATCATAAACATTGTTTTTGTTATTAAATTTTAAGGCTTTTTAATTTTATGAAGGCAAAAAGTGGAAACTTAATAAATATATGTATATGTAAAAAAAAGAAAAAGAAATATTCAAGTCATTTTGATTTGACATAACATCACACAGAAATGTTGCATTCCTATAGAAATCTTCTTACAATAATTCAAATTGCTCATTCTGCCTTCATTTATTTATTTTTGTTGTTCTTTTGCTCTAAATAAAATTTAACTATCTATTCTTGCAGAGATAAAATTTTTGCTAACACTTGTCCTTGCAATATGGCAAATCCACACCGAATACCTCATAGTTCAACTTTCAGCACATTACGAAACTGACAATGCCCTATTGTACTTGTGCAAATAGTTAATGATACTTATAACTTGTTGCAAAGTATCACTCAAAACAGTAGCTTCAGCACAGAGATTTTGCTAATGCAAGCTAAAGTGAAAGACAGCATCTGGAGCTGATAATACTTTTTTATCTATGCAATAAACCCTTCACGTTTCCTGTCATGTAAGGTGCATCCTCCGAACATACCTCCCTAAATTTACCAAATCCAGTCCAACTTTGCTCTGTTCCCAACAGTGCCCAAAGGGAATAATTCTTAATAGCAAAGAAAACCTTGTTACAACCTAAATGAAGTATAAAACCTGCACCAAGTCAGTATATCAGGTGATTCATTCAAAGCAATTGAATAATACCTATTTTCCATCTGAATTATTGCATAAAGTGGTTCTGCTAAGTTGAAGGCTAATTCATACTGAAAATCAATTATGGTTCTCCTTGAAAGAGCAATTATTTATACCTTGAAACATCACTGGGGTTTAAGCATTCTACAACTTCAACATAATGCATCTACACCACTAAATGACTTCCCTTTTTCCCCCAAGTATATAAGCTATTTTATAAGTTGCTTCTGTGGCATAACTTCCAGGTCTTATTGCTGCTTAAAGAATCGTCTCTGCTTTTGGAGTTTCTTTTTTTTGGTAGAGACAGAGTCTCACTTTTTCGCTCTCGGTAGAATGCAGCGGAGTCGCTCCAGCAACCTCCAACTCCTGGGCTTAGGCGATTCTTCTGCCTCAGCCTCCCAAGTAGCTGGGACTACAGGCACCCAAAACAACGCCCGGCTATTTTTTGTTGCAGTTTGGCCAGGGCTGGGTCTGAACCCGCCACCCTCAGTATATGGGGCCAGCGCCCTACTCACTGAGCCACAGGCGCCTCCCTGCTTTTGCTTTTTTATCTTGTCATTTCT